TTAAGCCAGGGGTCGCCAAACTTTGAGGACCAGTAGGTACATTTGGGATTTTGAGGAAGTGCTGTGGTCTCCAGTCACAAAATGACTGACATGGAATGTGTGGCATAACACAAAATGGCTGCTGTGGGGGCCAGTAGGAGAGCAAACGCTCTGATTTATTTATTTTTATCAGTCAAGCAGTGTACATTCCCTCCAACATTTTTCTGATGAAAATAGGGATGCCCTATTCAATTTATCTATTATTATTATTATTATTATTATTATTATTACTAATAATACCTCACCTATCTGACTGCGTTGTCCCAGCCACTCTAGGCGGCTTCCAACATAAAAACATAATAAAACATTAAACATTTAAAGAAACTTCTCTATGCAAGGTTGGTTTCAGGTGGTTTGGTAATCAGATAGCTCCATACCCTCCAACATTTCTCAGATGAAAATAAGGAGAAGTGGGACCTTCTAGGATCAAATCAGAAACTGGGACGGCATCTGTAAATCCGGAACTATCCCTGGAAAATAGGCACACTTGGGAGGGTCCGAGTGTATGAATTTTATTAAATAAATACGTAAATGAAATCAACTTTGCAAGACCAGGGTTATCCCATCAAACCAAGTGTCTTTGCTGAACCCTGCTCCCATGCAACAGAACGGAGTGGGAGTGATGGAGTTGCTATGTTCTGGGATGCTGACCCCAAGACACCAAAGGGTTGGGCATGGCTCATACGTGAGGGTTTGGAATAACTCAGCTATTTGCCAGGTTTTAGAGGAAACCGTTGTTAGCCAATCCTGTGGTGAATTGAAGGGGGGGGTGAGGGGATGGCCATGACTTGCCTTAAACTAGTGTTCCACTAAGCCTTTGAAGCTAAGCAGACAAGGAGGGGATAGGCAGGAAAACCCACACAGGAAGAATAATATCGTGCACAGAAAGCTTCTCAGAGATCTGAAGACGAACATCATCATCAAGGCTTACCAAGGATTCATTGAGGAAGTGAAGTGATGTAGTAGGAATAATGAAACACCGCTAAATCAGCACCGTTCATTATGCAATAAATTCATTAATGTAACCACAAGGAAAAAAGCAAGCTTGCCTTGGCGTATATTTTTAGGCGAACCACGATGAAAGCTTCCTTCTGTATAAATAACTGAAATGATCAGTGTTTTAATTCTGTGGTAACTACATATTTAGATGCTGGTTTTAAAGTTTAATTATCATAAAATAAATCTGTGAGATTTGCATAATTTTTTAGAGAATTGTTTCCTGATAAACTCCAACGCACTATCAATGGCTAAGAAGCTAGATTTTCAGAACAAACTCAGTCTATGGCCCCATCTGCACTGCGTTCAAAGCAGTATTACACCACTTTAATAGCCAAGGCTCCCCCGCCAATATTTCTGGAAACTGTAGTTAGTCAAGGGCTCTGAGTATTGTTAGGAGACCTCTGTTCCCCCCAGGGAACTCTGAGAACTGTAGCTCTGTAAGGTGAAGAGGTGTGTCCTAACTACTCTAAAAGATCATTAACAAACTACAATTCCCATAATTCTTTGAGGTTAAATGTATACTCCAGATGTAACCTAGAATAGTCACCGTCTCAGTAAAAGTCAAGAGTGCATTTAAAATATGGCAAGGATCTGTCTGTGTAGTTAAACGTGTACTCTCCAGTGCTTTTCATTTTCTTTGTCCATAGGAGGAATGTTGGATGAATTTGATTCAGTTCACTTTTAAACGTGAATTTACTTAAACAACAAGAGAACTGGAAACCAGCCAGCCTTTGAAATTTGCACAACTTTGAACTTTGCAGTGCAGTTCTCCTGCTGAATAATGCATACAAAAATGCATATGAGGGTAAAGTGAGCATTAAAATGCATATATTAGTGAAAATAACATACAAATATGCATTTTATTAGGGAAAATTGCTTTGCAAAAAATGTGTTTATTGTGTGTGCAAAATTGCACACAGAAATGATACATTCAGAGGGAATTAACTCTGGTGATATTTCCATAAGGATGTTTTTGAAAAGTAAACAAATTGTGAACAGATGTGAAAACATGGAACTTAAGACTGAGAAAGTGAGAGAAATGAAAACTTATGGATTCACCCATCTCTAGCCCAAGGTACAATTTTTCTCATACATTGAGAGGTCTGTCTGTCTCCAAGCTGAATGGTGCTGAGCTATATGTAAGCCAATATATGAGAAAAGCCCTAAGACACATCTGGCCAACTATAGTCCAGTAGCAGCACCATCCTATAAACATCTGCTCAAAGTAAGACCTCACTGAGTGCAGTGTGGCTTACTCCCAGACAAGTAGGTACAGGAATGGAGCTTATGTCTTTTGTATGTCATAGGGTGATTGTTTATCTGTTTTCTGTGGAACTAAACTAGAACAAAAGTAGATCAGGGCATCCAGCCTTACATCACCACTGTATCTTGGATTCCACTCAAATAGGGTCATTTGAAGAAGGTGTTTTCTCTCCCCCTTCCCCCAAGAGCTGCTGTACCACAGCCAAAACCTGCGCTCATGAGGATGATTGACACAAAATTCATACCAATGGGAATGATCAGGAAAACAAGTCCCTGCTTTCAGATGGCTTGTTCCACCGTTTTAAGTCCTTTCCTCCATACACATTGAATCAATATTGAAGCAAAATGCATTTTAAATATTCATACTGCAACAATATATAAAGGAATCTGTTAGATGATGTATAATAGGGTTGCGTGCCAGGCATCAGATGCCCATGTGCTGATATCTTGAGAAGTAACCAAATGCACAGAGAACAAGTAGATTTTGCTACTTAAAGTCCTTCCCACATTGTTCCAGAGTCCATGGGATTATAACGAACCATCTTTTTCCTGAAATTTACTTTTTTCATGTCTCTTTTTTTCACTTAAAAAAAAATCCTGCTATTTCGGTTCATTATGTGACTACTCTCCATTCCCCATGTTCTGTTTTCTTCCTGTAAAAAATTCCGAATGTTAGCTTCACTTTATGGTGGAAAGTAGGGGAAAGAGAGGATTTCTCTTTCTTCTCCAGCAGGGCTGTTGTAAATTAAAGAAAAAGGGAAAGTACTCACAGTTAGTGTCGCGCGTCCCAGAGGGTGTCACCCATGGTGAGTATCCTGGGGGGGGGGCTGCCGATGACAAGCGTCCCAGGGGGATGGCGCATCAATGTCACCCCCCCCCAGGGATGACACCCAGGTTGAACCGCCCCCACCGCCCCCTTCCTCCGCCACTGCTCACAGTGGTGCTGAAACAATTGTGTCATGGGACTCCAGATCCCACCTCTAACCTGTCCCTGCTTTTTTTCAGTTTGAGAAGGGTAGAGCATTCAACTGGAGGACATCACAAGTAGGGTTTAATTACAAAAAGCCCACAGACAAGGCACAAATGTGGCAGGGCGTGAGCACAACAGCCTTGTCCTGCTTGTGGTCCTCAGAAACTGGTGTTCAGAAGCAGACTTTACACAGGTCATCCCTCCCCTCAGTTCACCACTTTCTTATTGGGTACGTAAGAAGAATACTTTTTTTACAACAACAACGATACATCAATGTATTACAAAATATTCCTCAGACAAAGTGTGCAGGAACAAAAGAGCTTCAAAGATTAAGGGGGAAAGGAAGAGCTGTGAAGCAGAATGGGCTCGATGATTTGTGAAAAAATTAACAAAGCAAGACGACATCACGAATTACATCCCTAATGACCACTGTGAGTTGGGAAGGGCCATAGCTCAGTTGCGGCACACCTGCTTTGCATGCAGAAGGTCTGAGGATGAATCCCCAATGCCATCTCCATGTGGAGCTAGGAAAACGAGTCCTGTCTGAAAGTCACTGCCAGTCAATGTAGACATCCGAGTGACTCCTAGAAGATCTACTCCCTGCCTTGCACACCTTTTCCTCCTGGCAGGGCAGGGCCTGCACTGACTCCAGCTACAAAAGCTGAGGCTGCTGAGCAGACTCGTGAACTGGTGTATTGGGTTTTTTTGGGGGGGGTTGTTGCTGTTATTGACATGAATTTTTTTGTTATCTTTATTTTACATCTTTTGATTTATGTGGAAATGGTTCAATTTGGTTGTGTCTTTTCTGACGTTTTATCTCTTGTTTGTGACTACTTTTGTTACATTTGTCATTAACTATTTTTTCACGTTGTAAGATGCCTCAAGCATTGTTCCAGTGATGAAAAGGTGACATAGAAATAAAATTATGTATGTCTATATGCCTAGGACTTGCTGATCAGAAGCTCAGCAGTTCGAATCCCCGCGACGGGGTGAGCTCCCATTGCTCGGTCCCTGCTCCTGCCAACCTAGCACTTCGAAAGTACGTCAAAGTGCAAGTAGATAAATAGGTACCGCTCCGGTGGGAAGGTAAACGGTGTTTCCGTGCACTGCTCTGGTTTGCCAGAAGCAGCTTAGTCATGCTGGCCACATGCTGTACACCGGCTCCCTTGGCCAATAAAGCAAGATGAGCGCCGCAACCCCAGAGTCGGCCATGACTGGACCTAATGGTCAGGGGTCCCCTTTACATTTATATGTCTATATTGCCAAATGAGATGGACTGGTGATCAGACTCAGTATAAGACCAAGGTTCTTATACCTGTAGTCCTAATATAACTGGCGGTGGCAGTAAAAACAGCTGTGTGTGTTTAATCTATTTTTAGTCTATTGCTGATTTTATTTTCTCAATGATTTAAATTGTCACAGGTAAATGCATTTATTTATAACATTATTGTTTTATTCTTTTTTGTAAACTGCTTTGAGCTTTTTCTTTTTTCTTACAATCAAGTGGTATATACATTTTGTGAAGTAAATAAATAAACTGTGTTGGGAGGTCTGGCCACTATTTTGCATCCTCTTCAATGCTCTGGACCTAGTGTTACTCCAAGGCATTCTTGGTGGCAGGAGGAGAAAGATGGATCTACCACTTTCGGACAGTGCAGAAAAAAATAGAGTTCTCGATTGTAATGCTGAAACTTCTTCCTGGACTATATCCTCAAATCCTGGGCTTGTGGGGGGCGTAGCTCAGCGGTAGAGCTCATGGTCTTGCATGGAGAAGACCCCTGGTTCAATTCCTAGCATCCCCAGGTAGGGCTGGGAATGGACCATGTCTGAGAGCCATCACCAGTCAGTGTACACAACACTGAGCTAGTTAGATCATTGGCTTGACTTGCTCTACACTAGTTACCAAGGTTCTTAAGTAGGTTATTGCATGATTGAATGGTCTCCCTTTTTAAAAAAAAATAAAAAATCAAAATCTTGTGTATCTCCTTGTACATGAAAAGCTGATGTATTACAGACAAGGGCTCCCAGTTTATCTGGAAGGTGTCTACTAATGGTGGCTATGTAGCCGTCACTGAAGCACACAAGGAGAGCACTATTGCCCTCATCTCTTGCTTGTGGATTCCCCATAAGCATTTGGTTAGCCAACATGCAAAACAGGATACTGGATGAGATAGGTCTTTTGTCTGATCAGGGCTTGTTCTAATTCTTTGTCCTTAAGGGATTCCCTTTCTTACAAGCTACATTATACTCCAGGGGCGGCCCATCCTGTTTTGCCACCTGAGGCAAAATGGAAAGGTGTTGCTTCCCACCACCAAGTCAATGCCACCCAAGCTTTGTTTACCAGGGTCGTGTGGCTGCGGCTTCCAGTGAGAGGTCTGAGGCATCTCTCCAGAACCCAAAAGCCACAGCTGCTTCTCCTTGCTTCTCCATCAGTGGAGGGGTGAGTGGGGCACCACTCCCACCGTGGGAGAAACAAAGAGAAGTGGCAGCAGTGGCGAGATCCCCTGCAAGCTCTGTGAGATGTTACAAGATTTTCCCCAAAGCTGCCACCACTTCTCCTCACCTCTCCACACCACTTCTCCCCTGCAGTGATGGCTGGGGCAGGGCAGAAACATGTAGGGACACCACCCAATGCCATTCCACCACCTGAGGCAATTGCATCCATCTGCCTCATGGGTGGGTCGCCTCTGCTCCTCCTACTCCAAGACTGAAGGGGTTTAGTCTTGAAAGGACACCATCATGGGCATTTTCTTGGTGGTTTGTTTGTTTTTTTTGAATCTGTGTGGATGGGTAAGATGGGAAGGAAATGCTTTTCAAAATGTGTTTTTTTGGGGGGGGAGAAACATGATATCAATCAGGATAATTAGAAATATTCTTTCTTTCTTTCCTTTTCTCCCCGCAGAACAATGGATTCTGCTTATGGTGCCCCAGTTCACCTACAGATTTTATGTTTCCACTGTGGTGGTTTTTTTTAAGATGCCTAATGCAAAAATTGTGTGTATTTCGTCAGGCAGTCCCCAAATAGATATCTTCCATTATCTGTTATGTCAGCTGTGCCTGAAAGAAAGATCAAGTGAGAAACGGTTTGCACCCCTAATAGTAAATCCTCAACATGCAATTAGGTGTTCACGTGGCAATCAAACCATGCCTATATTTCATGTTTGCCTTCCTTTTCAAAGCCTCGACTAGAGGGGTACTTACTCTGTCAAATCTGCTATAGTAATCAAAACACTGAAATTACTTCTTTCCACACTAAATATACTGGAACTGGTTGTTTGATTAAATGGAGAGCAGAGTGCGCAATTTGCTAAATTACAAGTATTCTGAACATGTAAATATAGTTTAATTACTGCAATTAAAGAAGATTACTGGAGATTGGCAGATGGGAATGTAATACTGTTTTAATTAGAGTTTTTAATGCACTGTAACATAAGCATAATATTAACCCTTTATCCTAGAGAGGGATGGTTGCTCTTTGAGGAAGGAGGGGCACACACAGACAAATACAAGAGAATGCTTTGAAAATATATTGATGGGGGAGCAAGGGTCAAGACACCAAGCAATTTGCCCATGCTCAGAAGGCCCGGCATTGTATTCCCTGTGCGTGCGCAAAGGGGTGTGTGTGTGCATGTGGTTTAAACATTTCAGACTTCATTCATTGTATACAAAAAACCCAAAACAAAATACAAGACAGATTGTTCTTAACAAACACACAATCCTGCAAACAGCTAATTGGCCGTAATATGTGCCACAGAGGGAAGAGTATTGTTATTGCTGTTAGCTTATAGTTTCCTCTTCCTGAAAGCAGAGCCAAGACTAACAGCAAATACAAAATACAAAAATCAAAACAGGAGGGTAAGCTCTATTGTGCAACTAAGTTACCAGCAACCTGTTTGTGCATTCTCTTGTGCAACAATTTCCCACTGGCACAAAACATTCCCCCCGCCTTCAGAGGAACAAGTATACTGCTAAGTGACTTTAATTTATTACCACTTATTATTTTTAATTTCTCATAATCTGCCTTTCCTCTTATGAGTGTGCAAGCTAGATAACAATAAAGAGGCAGCATTAAAAGCAAAGGCAGGAGCACAACATTGCACACAAAATCCAAGTCGCAATAATAATCAACATTACATTGTGAAGAACTAATTGTGTTGATGCTAATGGATGTGTGAAGCGTAATAACCCCAAACTGGAGCGCTGCATAACTTTGGTTCAGTGAATTGTGCAACAAATATCCAACAAATAGCCACTCTGAATTATACATTTAAAGCAACATCAAACCACAGGCAGACTCCAGTTTATGCACATTCAATATATGCACAACCGTGTATGTGCACATTCAGTATGTGCACAATATGCGCACTATTGTGCTGAACCCAGAAGTCATAAAGATGTCACTGAAACATAACTAAACATAACTAAACATGACTAAAAGGAGGAACCAGGGTGGGGTGTGGGTGTGCTTGAAGACTTTTCCAAAGGATTTCAATTATACGTGATTTCACCAACTTGTGAAGTGTCTCAGAACATAACCCCCACTACCTGTACTTGAAAATATACTGAGGACTGTAGTTTGTTAAGGGTGCTGGGAGGAAACCTCTATTCCCCTTACAGAGCTGCGTTTCTGTGAAAAGGCATAGATTTTTCAAAGTGTGGTGGCTAGAGCGCCTCAATTATTTTTTTTTAAAGGTTAGGTTCATTTGTTTATTTTATCTTCCCTTCTCCTTTCAAAAGCGCTGAACACCAGAATAAGGAAGCCGGGTTTTGTTTTCGTAAACTACCATAACAACAGTGGCCTACTTTGCAGATTTATTAAATGCATTTCTCATTGGTTATGAGTGAATACACATATCTTCCTCCAGACTCACTCCCAACTAATGACTCTGTCAGACTGGCATTCCACAGAAACAGAGAACCATGTTTCACCCCACAAGGCATCAATTACTCTCAAAAGTGACCAGATGTTCATCCAAGAAGGAAAGGAAGAACAGTGGAAGTGGTGAGCTGGAGAGAGGGAAGTTTTCATCAGCCATCCATGCTCTCGTAATGTCCCATTTGGATTACTAGTGTGATGATTTGTATCATTATCATTTATTAAATGTATATAATTGCCATCATCTGAGGATCATGGGGCAGTTTACAGTACAAAAACACAAAAAGACATAATGTAGTAACAAAAAAAATAATAACCCACCCATCCCCATTTAAAAGGCTATAGATGGTGCAAGTAGCCAAAGGCCTGGGAGAGTAACATTTTCACCTGGTACCTAAAGATATGCAATGAAGGCACCAGGTGAGTCTCCCTAGGGAAAGCATTCTGCAAAGCGGGGGCCACCACTCCTCACGCCTTTCAAAAATAAAAATAATTACACTTTACTTGGCTAAGTTCCAGGTGATGTCTAAAGCCCTATGCAGTTTTGGATATTATGTCACCCATTATATTCCCAGCCAATCACTGACTAAGCTTTGCTCAGTATCTTATCAGGAGGTTCCTTCCACATGGCATAGGAATCAGCCCTTTAGTGATTTGGAATTCCACCCCGTTAAATATTAGACAGGCTCCATCTCTGCTGTCTTTTCAGTGACCAGTGGAGGTTTTCATCTTTCAACACCATTTTTAAAAATTGGTATTATCCCTAAGGTTCCCACTCCCTGCTCTTCCCCCTCCCTCAAACATGGCTCAGTTTGAAAAAGGAAGCCCTTTATCTTCTTTCCTGCCCAGAGAGATCCACTGGTCAGCCTAGGTGGGCTGGAAGATTCTTTACTGAGGAGACTTTCAACTGCAGTTGAGCTCTTCAGCACATGGAGCAGATTCCAGAAGAGCCCAACGCCAAGAATTTCCAAGGAGGCTGAAATATTGCAAATCATAAAGTTGTATGTGACATCAGAAGAGTGCTGGACTTCAATTTCTTAGGGAGGATGAAGAAGTAGGGGGATACGTGGTAGAGAGGGGGCAACAGATAATATTGTCACGGTCTCCACTTATTGTTCTTCAACCTGAAGAGCCCTATTTCCTTCATAAAACAATATCCCTTGAATGCAAGACACAATTTTTTGCCAACTCAAAAGCGATGGCTTGCAACATTTTATCCATTTAAGTCAATAGCCTATTAGAAATTCTAATTGAAAGTTCAATATTCTGCGTCAGGTCTTACAATAAAGGTGCTTTTGGAAAGCCATTTCAGGTCTAAATCTCTTTATCATTTGGTATTTTGAAGCCTAACTTTGTTCTTGTTAGGCGGATCAATGGCATTAATTTACAAAATGGGGGGGAAATGTCACCCTTCATCCTTTAAATCTCAGCACAGCAAAGAGACACGTAAGCGAATCCAACCATTGCTCTCCCATATTAGCAGAAAACGGTGCCATGGGAGGCTTGACCTACAAATTTTAATTACTGCATGAAAAATTCAGTTCCTGGAAGATGAATAGAGACCTGAGGGAAGGAAGAAGAAAAAAGCAGAGGTCCAGCTCCTGACTGACTGCTGAGATTAACTCTTTCAAAGCTGGCTAGCCTAAGGTAGGTCTGTTTTCATTATTTGGTCAGAGCCGATCCATCTGCCATGACTCTTGTGGCTTTCTTTTCCTTTCACAGGCTGTAATTGTTTGAAATGACCCTTGCAATGTTCTCACCATACATTTAAGGCACTGTGATACCACTTTAGACAGCCATTGCTTCCCCCATGGAAACCTGCATTCCCCTGCAATAATACTGTTTAACCAACAGTTCCTCTTCCCAGGGAACTCTGGGAATTGTAGCTCTCTGAGAGGTATAGGGGTCTCCTAATAGCTCTCAGCTCCCTTGGCAAACTCCAGCTCCCAGGATTATTTGGGGAAGGTCATGGCTGTTTAAAATGGTATGATACTGCTTTAAATGCATGGTTTGAATGAAACCCCCTTTGGGGTCCCTGCCTCAAAAAGTCCCAAGGCACCCCCGGAAAAGCATCTGCAGAGCTGTTGAATAAACGAAGGTACAAACTTGGATGTAAGAGCTTTAAATGGCTTGATCCCTACTATTATTCATTTTATTTCGATGATTTAAATATTTCCCTTTGCATAAGCCACAGGACAGTTTACAACACAGGAGATAAAAATTACTTGAGCTTTTAAAAACACATAACAGCAAATTACTGAATGGCAATTATTAACTGCAGGAGGAACAAAAATAAATGAATAAGTAAAGTGCCTCAATCAACCACCTAAAACTACAGAGGGATGGAGCTGGACACACCTGTGAAGGGATGGAGTACCACATATGAGCAGCTGTCACTAAAAAGCCTTTCCCCGGAGTCTCCCACCAGGTACCTAGTATTGCAGAGGGAACACCCCCAGGTGGGTCTCCTTTGTTGATCTTAATCTTGGAATATGTGTGTAGGATGAACATGCAGCTTGGAAGCTGAACTGAGTTCTAAATCTCTGGTGGAGTAACAGACTTTGCCCTTGGTTATAATCACACTGGGGCTCTTGAGTTTAAGAAAATAAGAAAGCTAAGTTTATTAAAGGAAATGCTCCATCAAACGTTCTAAATGGTAGACCTAGAGGCATCCTCTATCAGAATAGGCTTTGTTTATGTTCTCAGGACGTCGATTGTATGAAGCATATCCTACTGCATTGTGGGCAGTATGAGCAAGTAAGGGATCAACTGATCAAACCCTTACTAGCAAATTTGCCAGGAAAATCTGAAGCCTCCCATATTAAATACCTTTTGGAGGATAGGTCAAATGATATTACACTGACTGTGGCAAAGTTTCTTTCGGAGGTCGCAAGAAACAAAGACCATCATGCTGCAGACATAACAAAATGTCTACCTCAGTCTCTTTCGCCTGTTGTTTGGTTGTCTTAACTGTATCTTGTTTTGAAATTGTTTTGTGGGTCACACAGTGGACGCTCAGGTTGCAAACGTGATCCGTGCGGGATGCACATTCGCAACCTGCAGTGTTCGTAACCTGCGTCTGCGCACCCATGGGTTGCAATTTAGTGCTTCTGTGCATGCGCAACTGCCAGAACCTGGAAGTAAACCATTCCGGTACTTCTGAGTTTCGGTGGTCCGCAACCCGAAAAAACGCAACCTGAAGCGGCTGTAACCCGAGGTATGACTGTGTGTGTGTGTGTGTGTGGAAATGCAGACTTGATACAAAAGAGCCTAGTTCTATCTAACTAGAGTGGAGATACAAAGACCCATGCTTGCTCTTTGTTCTCAGCAGGAGAGATATGTCACATCTCCCAACGTGAGGATGAAAGAGGAGAAGAAGGAAATGTGGAAAGCAATTCTGAGAGCATCAGTCTAGCAGCTGAGGGAAGGTCAGCAGAAGTTAAAGGACAGTCTAGGAAGCTTGGAGGTTCTGCTCCATCTCCACTTTCTCCCCATGCAGACCCACCAGTCTTCAATACAAGCCGAGTTGCATCCCAACACTTCCTACACAAAAGAGAACAGGCAGGGCAAGATGGAAGAAGGCGTTCTTGCACCTATTTGGATCCCAAGCCATTTGGGGCTTTAACCACCAATTGCAGCCTAGACAGAGCCCCATTTGCCTGGCTTGCTGGGGGAATCAGAGCACTGATGAAGCTGGAGGGCAGGGCACCCTAGACCAGCTTATAAAATCCACCTGTGGGGCACAGTGTGCCAGAGCGGTAGCCCCACAGTCTGGCTCACAGTGGCAATGATCACATTCTGAGACTGCAAGCTCACGGCGAACCTTGGGAGATCGAGAAACCTCATCAGGACGGGAAGGGTTAAAGCAACCTGAATCGCCAACCCCCTGCAGCTGTGATACAAGCCAGCTGCTTTTAGACAAATTGAGGGGAAATAGTCCTTTCAGCTCAGCAGGCACATGACCAGCAGCACAAAGGGACCCTTCTAGAAATGCCTTGAATACCCCCATTATCCCGAGGATCACTCACGAAGCTCCACTTTTCATGCCCACAGCCACCTGTGATTAACTTTTTTTTTTTGCTAGCGTCATTAGGGAGGACTTTGATGGCAGATGATTGTTTAAAGGCCTGGCTGTGCAGGCCTAATGGGGGTGGAGAACATGGCTCCATCGTTCTCCAGTTGCTCCATCTATCTCACTAATTTATGAGAAGCAAAGAGGGGGTGGAGGGTGGGGTACGGGGGGAGCCACAACAATAGGAGGCCAATAAAAAGAAAACACTTAGCATAAAATGGATTCAGTGTTCCTCAAACGCAGGAGTATCATGTTGAGGGGAACTTTGATACGCGATCAGACAAAAAGGCCGCAGTCATTTGAGCCCGGGACAATGTCTTTTATACGGGTTTCTTTTTCTTTTTCCTTTTATGCATTTAGCAGAGTCAAAGAAACAGGGGAGGGGGGAAGAGGAGCCAGAAGCAGGTGGGGAGGGGACGAAAAAACCCAAAGCCAGCTAATGGGAGCCTCTGCTTCTTTGTTCTTGGTGCAAGTACTTCGGAGCGAGAAAAAGAAAGGAAGGTGGAGAATTTGTGGAGAAACGGAATCAAAGCAAGGGAGCCTCTCTCTGCTGCAAGAATGGAATAACTGAGGCATCATGCAACTCTTCTGATTGGTCCCAGCCCCACCCTACCCTACCATGGCCACACACACACAGGGGCATGTGAAATGCGACAATTAGCCAGTAGCTAGAACAGGGCTTCTGAAACATTTTCATGGTAGAAATACCTAATGAATACCAAAGGAAGCTGCCTTGTACTGTGTCACTCCATTGGTCCAGATAGCTAAGTACAGTCTGCACTGACAGGCAGCAGCTGCCTGGATTTCATCCCTACCTGGAGATGCCATTATTGAACCTGGGCCCTTGAAGATGCTCTACCACTGACCTATGGCCCTTCCCTATAAGGGCATCTCCAATGAATAAAACCGACTAACCATCCCCCAAATTAAGAAGTAATGTAAAGCTTGCTTATGCCATGGCTTAAGCTTAGCAGATGCTAGGAAGGAGAAATTCATTTCCGGATGCATTTAAAGCCAAGTCTATCAAATCAGCACTTTCTGAAACAATATTCACACTTATCTGGGATTTTGCAATGCAGTTCTCCAACCGCACAAAAATGTGTACATTAGGGGAAAGTTTGCATAAAAATGAATACATTGGTGAAATTGACTTGCAAAATGCATTCCCTTAGGGGACGTTGTTTGCCAAACTGTGTACATTAATCACACCTGCATATGAAATGTGTTTATTAGGAGAAATTTGCACAGAAATGCCAATGAATTTGCACCAGGATTTTCTTTTTTAAAATTCGTGAACGGCTGCAAAATGAGGGGAAAATTGAATTTAAGATTTTAAGAAAAATGAGCAGCACAGACAACCAAAATTTATGGATCTTTCCATGCCCAGGGGAGGCTGCTCTATAAAGGCAAATGGGGCACTGCCACACCAATTGCAGCCTGCCCTCACCTCTTCCTTCCTTCCTACTTACACCAATCATGGCGGTGCTCCTTGCACTCAGCTTCCTTTCCCTTAGTCTCAGTGTCACCCTTGCAGAATTCAGCAGGGAGGACGATGTTGGATGCAAAACTAGAGTTGGCTGACTCCTCCTCTCATTGACTCTGGCTCCACCTATTGCTGGGATCCCTCCCTTTTGCCCCAGCAGTCCCAATGGGCACAAGCCACCACTATTTAAACTCCACTTGTCTTCTGCTCAGCCAGCCAGCCAGCCACCATTCACCCTTGTTCCTTTCACTTAGCTTCCTCCTGCTGCCATCTTTAATAGAAGGTATGGGACTTTGTCTGCATACACACCATACATTTAAAGCACATCTTCCGCCCCAAACAATTCTGCCAACTGTTGTTTACCCTGCTGTTTACCAACTACAGTTCCCAGGATTGTTTTTTTTAGGCGTAGGGATGGGAATGGTCTTTAAACATGCTTTAAATGTTCTGTGCGTACACAGCCACCCTCTTCAAATAAAGATTCAGCATACACAAATGGAAGGAGAAACAACAACACATTAGGGAAAGGAGGAAGGAATGTAAACAGTGATCAAAGAAATGCCCAGAGGCTCCTGCTTTTGGTATGTTCTCATGAGCTTTCCACTTCAAACTAGTCAGATAAAGTGCCCCCACCCCTGCATGACATCACCTGGGGATCTATCATTTGCACCTTGAGACCGCTTCATTCTGTTTCAGCTTCCAGATACATTTCCAGCTCCTTTAAAAATCTGGCTTGGAAGAAGGTGTCTCTGTGTGTGTCTCTCTCTCTCTCACACACACACACACACACACAAAGAAGTGAGACTTTGACTCTCTGTCTCAAGGACCAGCGCATTCATTATCTAATCCAAGCAGTCCAGGCTAAAGGGATTCGTCCTAACCCAGGCACAGGCAAACTTGGCCCTCCAGATATTTTTGGGACTACAACTCCCATCATCCCTGACCACTGGTCCTGTTAGCTAGGGATGATGGAAGTTGTAGTTCCAAAACATCTGGAGGGCCGAGTTTGCCTATACCTGTCCTAACCTCTCTATCTGGGCCTCAGGACTCTCCCTAAGCCACACCCTCTCTCTGCAGGCCACACCCCTCACTGGCCATGCTCTATGCTCTCCTTGAGCGATTTTGCATGTTTGGAATGTGTCCTTAACCTGTTATAGCACAGAGGTGGGTTCCCTAGATGGATAATGGAGAGACGTGTGTTTGTGTGTAGAAACTTCTGAGTGGAATGCAGCTTTCTTTGCAAAGATGAATCAGACCTGTTTCTCCGCCAATTTATGTCTCTGGCCTCATCCATTCATCCACGAATGTTGCCCATGTGGATGAAAAGATTCTCAATCTGTGGCCTCTCTGGATATACAAATGTATCAGTGTAAATATGTGGCATTTGTGATCTGAAATACACCACCTGCCTCGGAAACAAGAATGGATGGGTTTTTCTCTTTGCTTTCCCCTAGTTTCATGGGAGCAGTAGAACATCCCATCAACTGAGACTACTGCTGAGAAAAGGACATTAAAGCTACCAATTCCATGAATATATTACTAATAACCCCGGATAGCAAAGCAGATGCCTACATTACTCAGTGGATTATTGAGTTTGACACCTTCCAAGCACACTCAATAGTAATACAGTCTCAGTAACATTTTGATGTGATCAAACACTCATTTTACAAGCCATGTGTGTAGTGGACATTCTTAGAACTTGATAGATTCCAGGGTTTATCCTTTCCTCCACCATGGTTTAGTTTGGGAAGAACGACACCAGACTCCTCAATTGTTCATAACCAAAGTCTTGCCAAACAGTAGTGAGATATTAAAGGGCTGTTCACAGTCCTGCTGACTCAAGCCAGAGCCCCAACCTTGAATTCTCAAATCAACAAGAGAACAAAACTAAAGCTATACTTCAAAATGTGCAAGTCTCCGAATTTTGTGATGGAGTCTCTAGCCAAAGGAATGTGTACAAAAATGCATCGATTAGTGGGAAATGGCCCTCCCATACATACACCCTATTAGGGAAATTTGCTCGCAAAAATGTGCATATTAATCCCAACAGCATACAGCATGTGTTTATTAGGAGAAATTCACATCAAAGTTCGATGAATTTTCATAAGGATCTCGTGAAATAGCAAATTGCTGCACAAATGTGTGTGGCTGAATTTCAGAAATATGGAAAAGTGAAGCTTGAAAAAAGTGACGATACGATAATCTTTATTGTCATTGTCCCATACAGAACAACAAAACTGAAAATCTACATTAGACATTCAGAAACCAACAAGCCTGCTATCCCAGCTATCCCAGCCTGGTTAGCCCCCTAAAAACTCTGATACCCCATAATTAAATACAATATACTCCCATAGACACTACCTTACGCTGCGTTTAAAACCAAAATCGCATTTGAATAGAAACTGTTTCTCAGGCGGCTAGTCCTAGTCTTTATAACCCTGTACCTTCTTCCAGAAGGCAGAAGCTGAAAGGGATCATTTCCGGGGTGCGCACTATGCTGCACTATCTCTGCAGCTTTCTTATGACACCTGGAAGCATAGATTTGATTCAAGGTGAAAAGAGTGCACCCAATTATTCTCTCCGTAGTCTTTACAACCCTGGACAGCATTGTTTTTCCCTTGACCATGCAGCTCCCAAACCACACACACAGACCATAACAAGGTAAGAGAACCTAGAACTGTCCATCTCTGTCAGCTTTTGAAAATGAGGTGCGTGTCCAAGGCATGGGGGGACGGGACGGGACCCTAACAATGATTGCTCTAAAGATCTCAGTAATATAATCACTCAAAGCGTTATAAGGAATCAGATCTGGAGTCAGTGACTCAGTTCTCCCAGCTCCTTGGATGAGGTGTGGCTTGTCTTGCATCAGAACATGTTGTTGTTGTTTAGTCATTTAGTCGTGTCCGACTCTTCGTGACCCCATGGACTAGAGCACGCCAGGCACTTCTGTCTTCCACTGCCTCCCGCAGTTTGGTCAAACTCATGCTGGTAGCTTCGAGAACACTATCCAACCATCTCGTCCTCTGTCGTCCCCTTCTCCTTGTGCCTTCCATCTTTCCCAACATCACGGTCTTTTCCAGGGAGTCTTCTCTTCTCATGAGGTGGCCAAAGTATTGGAGCCTCAGCTTCACGATCTGTCCTTCCAGTGAGCACTCAGGGCTGATTTCCTTAAGAATGGATAGGTTGGATCTTCTTGCAGTCCATGGGACTCTCAAGAGTCTCCTCCAGCACCAGAATTCAAAAGCATCAGTTCAAAAGCATCAGAACATGGTAGAGAGCTAAAGCCTTGGGATATCAGCATGAAGGACATGGGACGTCACAAAAGAAATGTGGGGATTCAAAAGAGATTTAAGGGTCTCTTGATTTTTACCCATCAAGTGACATGGTCTCCATTTTCTATATATATTATTTCTAATTTGTTAACAGCCCCGCATTCTGCACTTCTCAGCCCTCTGGGGACCCATTTTTAAGAGGCAGCAGGTATTTAACATACAACCACCCAGTTATTAAATATAAATGAAATACCTACTCGAGGCAGCCAAGGCGACACACATCTAGCTTGGTACACAGGGGGGAATCCACTTCTGAAGCTTCCATTAACTTTAATAGGAACTAGAAGACTTCGTGTTAAATTATATAATTCCCATTACCCCATTACCCGGTCACAAATGCATCACCCTATTTTTGCTGGGAACACGCGAAGCAATTTTGTAATGGTCCTTTAGCAACTGCAAATGAATTAAGTAAAAGAAAAAAAACATGAATGACATGAATGAACTCCAAGCAGAGTATAATGTAAGGTACATTTAATATAGAACTGTATCTTAATAGGAGAGTTAAAGCATTCCTTCCACTCAAGAGACACTGGGTTCTATCCAACATGAGATAGAATAGGCAACTTGAAACGAACAGGCATGACTACCACTGGTTCATTAATTTCAAGGGGTCTACGCTGACAAGAGCTTACTTGGGTTCAACTCCTAAAGGCTGTGTAGAGTCAGTTGGGAACTTTAAATAATATATTTCATTTTCATCCTACAAATTGCTCAGAGCAGTGCAGGGATGAGCATATTTCCTGCTTGCATCAATTTCACATGTGTCTATTTATGTCCGTTCCATCCCGTTTCTGCCTTGTTCTGCATTATTGTTGTTTTTACAAATCTACTCCAAAATGTGTATGTAAAGATATGCTTTTGAGCATACCTTTCCATCAGAATATACATATATAATCTTGAAATACACATTTTTAACCTGTTTTGGTATTTTATTTTTATTTTTTAAGCCGGGAACGGAATTGGGGAAAAGTTGGAGAAGTGTCCTACCCAAAGGGTAATTATGTTCCCGTTTGCCCATTAGTCTGGGGGAGGTGGATCAGGTCCTACTACTCAGAGTTCACCCATTGAAATTAATGAATCTAAGTTAGTCATGTGTATTCATTTCAATAGATCTACTTTGTGTAGGACTTACTTGTCCTATATTCATTAAGCATTTCTAGTGTGTGTGTCAGGCTTCAGGGAATTGGCTCTCCACCCCACCCCACCCGTGGCAGTAGATAAGCAGAACAAAGGAAAAGGAGTCTTCTTACCAGTTAAAAACTTTAATAAAAAACAGCAAGAGAACAAAGAACCCATCTCCTAGAAATGACGGTGCTCCCAATTAAGAATCCCACTCCCTTACGTCCCTATTAATCCACGCCACGTCTACGTCTTGTAATCTGAGTCTGTCCCCTCTGTGTTTTGTGTGCTTTCTGTTTTGCCATTTTCTTAGCTCTTCTTGACCTTGGGGAGAGTGGATGAATGCTTTCCAGAGACAGTGAGTCTGTTAACCCTCTCTCTCCCAGTGTTTTTTCTCGTAGCTGTTTCCCATCCAATATTTCCCAACTTCTGCCTTCTAAACCATGCCCCTCTGCAAACCACTCCAAATCCATACTGTCCTCCTGCTCCTGGAAGATTCAGGAGCAGGGGGAGGGGGAGGCTCCCACCATTCCTCCTCAGTGCAGCCTTCCTGAGCACAGTCCTAACATTGTGTGACATCAGAAACTTTATCTAAGAAACCCGTACACAGCCTAGGCATGAGCACAGATTAGGTAAAAAAAGGTAAAGGACTCCTGGATGGTTAAGTCCAGTCAAAGGCGACTATGGGGTTGTGGAGCTCATTTCACTTTCAGGCCGAGGGAGCTGGTGTTTGTCCACAGACAGCTTTCTGGGTCATGAGGCCAGCATGACTAAACCACTACTGGAGCACAGAGGACTGTGACAAGTGCCAGAGCGCATAGAAACACTGTTTACCTTCCCGTCACAGCGATACCTATTTATCTACTTGCACTGGCATGTTTTTGAACTGCTAGGTTGGCAGGAGCTGCGACAGAGCAACGGGAGCTCACCCCATCACAGAGATTTGAACTGACGACTTTCCGATCAGCAAGCCCAAGAGGTTCAGTATTTTAGACCACAGCGCCACCCACATCCCGGTAGCACAGATTACAGGGTACAAGGCTCTCGAGTCCATAAGCGGAATTCCAGGATACAGGACTGGACACAAACTAAGATGCTGTCTTACATGTTCTCTTGCTCTTCTTTTGAGCAGCCAGGCAGTGCCTGTCACTCACATGGATCACGCCCATGACACAAAGATTGCACCTGGAAGTGCCACCTTCTTTGGAGGATTGAGAGAGCCACTGGGTTCCCTGCCCTGGTCCACACTGGCAGCAGATCTTCAGGGTTTGATGCTGGGGACACTCTCAGTCCTACCTGAAGATGCCAAGAGTTGAACCTGGGACCTTGTGCATTGAAAGCAGATGCTCCACCATTGAGCTGTGGCCCCTTCCCCATTTGTGATTAATTTTGCTATTAATTCTATTGCTAAAGACAATGAAGGCTGTGTGTGCTCAATCTTTGGTTACCCTTTCCTCAGCCTGATCTTGGCCAAGTTGTGGACAATTGTGTGGCTGGGTCTCCTGTTTGAATCTGTCTAAATCTTGGCTCTGCGGAAAGCGTTTCCTAGCCTGTTTAAATGAAAATGCCTTTTTTTATTGGTCTGCCTGGCCAGCTTCCAGCCATTCCACCTTTAATTATGGGATGCCACAAAACCAGCTTGTGAACACAGCTCCCATCCCTGGCCCTGTTCCTGTTTCCACAACACCACCATCCATTTTATTTAATCTGATTGGAAGGAAAAGGCAAGGGGAGGGAGAGGGAGGGACAGAGATGAAGGAAGGACAAAGGGCGATTCTCTGTCAGTCTGGAAATTCTTAATTGGTTTGTAAGCTGGCAAAACAGGCTGTGGCATTCTTCTCTGCTCACATTTAAATTCAGCCTCAGGTTATATATCCCTGGTTTGAGCAGAGTGAGGGAACGGAAAGACGAGAGCCAGATAATAAACACAGAAGACATCCTTTAACACACCTTTCAAGTGCAGATACATAGCCAATTAGCTCACATGAACTATTCTCCCCCCCTCGTGGTGCTCCACAATGGTGTGCGCATCGCCCATTTGCATTATCATAGAAATTTGTTGGCTGTTGCCTTGGTAACAATGACTGTTCCCTGGTGCATGCTGGGGGAGTTTTGCACAAGGCATGCTAAGGATTCGGACACCACGTATCAGATTCATAAATTATAAAGCTACAGGCCAGGGAGGGGCCTGTGAAGATTCTGTCTTGGTTGTTTTATTCAAAGAAGAGCCTGCCATTCCAATCCTTTGTGCATTTAGCCACAGGGTAAGTTCTGCCATGTTCAAAGGGGGTCAGTAGCAGATGAGCATGCATAGGGGTGTCATCTGATGTCCAAGGAGCATTATGGTCTTTAACTGTGTGTTGTAACAACAAGCATTCCTCCAACCAAAGAAGAATGGGTAAGTAAGATAATGGACTATGCAGAATAGGCAAAATTAACAGCAAAATTAAGAGAATCTTATGATGAGTGTTTTATGGGAGAATGGATGCCCTTTTCAGACTATTTAAAGAAACAGTATAGTTTGCTGAACTCACGAGCAGGATTTGGGCTATGAGCAACAGAAGTGATTAGACTGGTTATGATTTAATAGATATGGTGCAGCAGAAGGGACAAAACAACAACTCCATGGAAAACAGGGCGGGAAGTTGATAAAAAATAAGAGAAAAGACAAAATTGCATTTTGATTGTATATGTTGAAAATGTTGGAACCTAATAAGATACAGTTTTTAAAAACCTAACAACAAGCATTCAACTTAGGAAAAGGCAAGCATAATTGCCTCTTCTTCATCTTGTAGCCTCTGCCACAGGCTCTTAAACCAGTTTTCCACAACCTGATGCTCTCCACACATTCTTGGACTACAGTTCCCTGCTTCTGGGCCCAAGGCACTAAAAGGGATTATCGAAATGCAGCTGCAAGCATTCTGGGAGGAAATAGGTTCTCTAGACCAACCTTTCTCAACTTTGGGTCCCTAAATATTGCTAGACTACAACTCCCATCATCCCTGACCAGGGCTGGATTAACCATTAAGCAAAATAAGCACATGCTTAGCTTAGGACATCAAGGGAAGAGGGGCACCACTGAAATTTTCCATTTAACATTAATGGCCACAAATTGCTCAGCTGTGCATTCATTTTCTCAGTTGAAGTATATTAAAAAAAATCCCAGCAGAATAACTATGCAACAGGGCAGGCTGAATTCTTTATCTTCACCATGTATAGAAGCAGGCGTGTTACATAAAATTACTTTTGAGGATCTGATCAAAGACTTTGCAATTAGAAAAAATAGAAGGATTTCCTCACAAAATATAAATAAAATGGAAGTATACTAAAATAAACATTATTTTTCCATCTTAATGTAGGTTTCAGTATATATATATATATGTTTATATTTTGAAATATGGGGGCACCATACAGTGCTTAGGGCCTCTAAAGGTCTTAATCAGCCCCAAGATTGAGAAAGGCTGTTCAAATTCCAGACTGCATTGAGACCCAGGTTCAGGACTAAAACTGCCTCCATTGCCCTGATGGATAAACTATATCAGAAGAAGGATGTGTGTGGGGTGCAACCCTGTTGCTCTTTTGCATCAACTTTTGACACCACACCATTGACCAAGATATTCTCCTGGACCATCTATGGGAGGTAGGTATCAGAGGTAGGTATATTGGCTCCAGTCTCAACTCCAGGGACACTTCCAGAAGTAGCATTGGATTAATGTTTCTCAGCCTCCTGACTGTTGAGCCAAGGGGTGCCACAAGGCACTGTATTGTCTCTAAATTTATAATTGGCATGAAGCTGCTGGGAACAGAGATTGGAAATTTGGGAGTATTGGTCCATCTAGCTCAGTGTTGTCTCCAGAATTTCATAATGGGTTCTCTCCCAACCTGGAAAAGTCAGGGATTGAACCAGGGGGCGGGGTTGCATGCAAAGCAGATGCTCTGCCACTCAACTGCCCCCTCCCCAAAAATTTGATTCTAACTTGACATGGGTGGAAGGCAGAGTTTTGGCAGAATCAATGAATATGGCATGTGAAGAGCCTTGAGCAATGTATAATTTGGGAAGGGGGGAAACCTTGGACAGTAGTCCTTGGAATCTAACTGTGAATGTTTCAGTTTCGTCAGTGAAATGCTGTAAGGCAGCCTTCCCTAACCTGTGGTCCTCCAGATGCCAGGGATGATGGGAGATGTAGTTCAATGACAGCTTGAAGATAGGGAAAGCTGCTGCTAAGTTACAGAATGTATTCCTGCCGCCTCAGGGTATGCTGCTACCCACACACTGAGTAGCCTTGCCAATCTCCATCCATGCTGGCACTCGGCTTTGTGATTTATACCTAGAAATAGGTAGCTCTGCACACACTGAAAAGCACTTCATGCAAGTAATTTCAAATGATGTGTCACCCGAAAGAACTCTTCCACTTCTTTAAACACTTCAGATCTGTTCTAGCTGCTGTCATGTCATCGCTTGCCCATGCCATCCCAAACAACACACAATCGTGATGAAAGCTGTTTTAGATGAAACACATTCGCTCTTCTGAAGACTGTCCCCTGTCAAAAGAAAAACACAAAACCAGTCCCAACCCACTCCATTTCCAGAAATAGCAGCTTTCCACATTTAGGCATCATTTGTAACTTGGAACAAGGATACGCTTGTAGAACTGTAGAATGGAGATAAACTAAGAACTCCAAGAGGATGGAGTAACTCACTGGTGAGGACGCATTGCAGCATTCGGGGCATTTAAGTTTAGAAGGGAGCGTAAGAGTGAAAGTGTATACAGAAGCATAGATTCATAGAGTTGGAAATTGCTCCAAGAGTCATGTAGTCCAACACTCTGCAATGCAGGAATCACAGCCAGTGCTGGATTTACGTATAAGCTTAGGGCCCCACTCTCTTGGGCCCCCCCAAAAAATTTAAAGGAAAGAAAAACTGGATGTACATTTCCAAAATATAAGATAAAAAACAAATAAAATAAAACCTACATACAGCAACAGGGATGCTGGTGGCACTGTGGTCTAAGCCACAGAGCCTAGGGTTTGCCGATCAGAAGGTTGGCGGTTCGAATCCCTGCAACAGGGTGAGCTCCTGTTGCTCAGTCCCAGCTCCTGACAACCTACCAGTTCGAAAGCATATCAAAGTGCAAGTAGATAAATAGGTACCACTCTTGCAGGAAGGTAAATGGCGTTTCCGTGCACTGCTCTGGTTCACCAGAAGCAGCTTAGTCATGCTGGCCACATGTACGCCGGCTCCCTCAGCCAGTAAAGCAAGATGAGCGCCGCAACCCCAGAGTCAGCCATGACTGGACCTAATGGTCAGGGGTCCCTTTACCTTTACCTTTTACATACAGCAACAGTGTTTTGTGTTGTGTATGGACCTATTAGGTCCATAAATTACCATATAGCATATATTCAACACAAAAACCAGCAGCAATTTGTTGTTGACAAAGGACAGCTGGACATATAAAGGGTCCCATTACCTGCAGTAGCTTAGCGCCTCATCAAACCTAAATCCGGCCCTGATCCCAGCTAAAGAATCCCTGACAGGGACCCAACCTCTGTTAAAAAACTTCCAGTGAAGAAGAGTTCCACATTTCCAAGTCTCCCTAATGTTTAGTCAGCATCTCCTATCTTGTAATTTGAATCCATCTGTTCAGGTCCTACCCTGTGGAGCAGCAGAAAACAAGCTTGCTCCAACTTCCATGTGACTGCCCTTCAGGTATCTGAATGTGGCTATCACAGTTCCTCTCAGTCTCCTCTTCACAGTCCTGCTCTTCCCCCTGACACAAGTGAGCTGAATTGCTGAATAAGGCTAGTGGTTTATTAGCGCCAAGTCTCAGCATGGCTTACTTTTTCAAGCTTTTCAGTGAGTAGAGCTCTGACCGCAGAACAGAAGGGTTTGCTGAATTGGTTGAAGATGTCAAAATACACCTCAAAACAATTAGCTCACATTGATGCCATGACACAAAATAAAATGGTTGCCTGAGAATAACGCTCAACTGGGCAGCTAACAGGGAGGAGTCATTTTCTTTGTTTCAATGAGGAATATGTCCTCCTTTAATTAGAGCCCTACTGTTTTGTTTCTTTATTATTATTATTATTATTATCAATAGGCATCATCTGTAACTTGAAACAAGGATACACTTGTTAGTAATAGTAATAATAATTTTTATTAAAATAGATTCAGTTGTAGAAAATAAAGCGATGAAAGAAAAAGAAAGAAAAGAAAGAAAAAAGAGCAAGAAATATGATAATATACTACTGTTTTGTTACTTACTATATCTGTAGCATCATCATCACCATCTCCCCAAATGGAGAAATTCACAAGATGCTAATGGAAGGTGGTGGTGATGTTGCTGTTATTCCTAAAGGAGAAAATACATG